AAAAGGTAGGATGCAGGGATCAACTATGAGATGGATATGTTAAACCATGATTTCAATGAATGAGGCTGTAATAATCAAAATACCAGGATAATATGGTGGTATCTGTCAAGTTCGAAGGCGAAATTCTGGCGAACGAATTGACAGAAGGTAGTTTTTGGGTATTTCATAGCTAGCTACTCATCCCAGTAAGTCTCAGAAGAAGGTGGTAATGTGGAAACGCTACTTGTATAATTCGATTTTATCCTCCATCGCCAGCATAGTTACTAATGGGGACCAGACTGGTAGGTAACTCAACATCTTCTTCGACTTATACGAATTGATTCAAATGTAGACATTGAATAGTACAAACGCAGACATTTATTGAACATAGACGGCAAGAAAACGACGAGAAAACTGGAGTTGAATGGAACTGACTAGAAATGCTGGACACAAACAAAACAGAAAAAAATATATATTTGAAAAGAAAATACAGAAATATACTCGAACAGACAAATGAAATGAGAATACTTCTGGTGATGTAACCGGTGATTTCCTGACACATACGGGGCTAAGATCATTTCTGTGGTGACAATGACATTTCTTTTCTCTTTGTCTCTCTAATTACAGTATCATCATTTATCAATACTTACTTTAATAGCTTACAATTGAAAATTACCAGAAATCAAATATGAAAAGCTTTGACAGGAGAAAAAATGATGAAAAATTCGACAACAAGTCTCACGGCAGCGATGGCACGACGGATTTTCTGGGCCCAGGAAATGGCGGGACTGGGAACCTTCTCCCCACCTAGGTCTGGGCATCCATCCACATAGCTCCTCGGAAACATGAGGGACGTCGTTAAAAGAAGAGAAAAAAAANAATTGCCTTCCACTGTCGCAATGAGCCACTAGTTTGAAGGTGGGTTCAGGTGCGCTCCATAGTGAATGATGTAGCCTCTTCAAANAAAAAAAAACTTGAAAATAGCTTAAACGAAAGGCATTCGCTTATAAGTCGACCACATAAAGCTTTAAAACTTATGGATACTAGTATGGGAAAGTAGAAGAAGCCTGTACATATGACGAAAGGATGGGGGAAGGACAACTCCAGGCTGATTGCTGGAACATATTACAAGCACATGGCATTACAAATGGACGGATAAACCGGGTCAGAATGACATCCGCTAGGGTTTCCTTAATTCAGAGATAATTCGATTATACTGAAAACAATCGAAATGCATGTATCAAGAAATTTGAGAAACGAAACCGTGGTATTGGGTATGTGCGTGTTCTCAATGAAAACTAACACAATAAAATTTCTATCGAATGTCGAATTATCGTATTCGAATCAAATGATCTAATATAGATCGTGCAAATAGCCATCATTTTTGCACGTGGGTGGGTTCCAAGTTTCGTTCTTGGGTCTCACCGGTGTCTAGCTAGCATAAGATCGTCGTGATTGCCTGAAAAATGGAATTATATAGTTCAACCCTGGTGATATTGTGCGTAGGATTTCGTCAGAAAGCCAAATGGTCTAAGAAATTCAGCGGCACAGTCAACGATAAAAACGTTTTTTCTACTATTCCTCCATGGAACCAACCTGCGACCCTCAAAGATAGCGCAGGAGACGCTGCCGGGCCGAAAAACGGCCTAGACAGGGTATAAAAAGGGCTCCAAAATCGGCTTTGCCGATGAACACACCCAAGTTGAACGAGTTGTCATGACGATGTAGAGGCTTCAGAGATTGCACCATTCGCACCGGGACAAACACCTTCCGCGCAGACAGCTTACTGTAGCCAAATGGCACATACACACTTGGAGATCGTCCAATACCCCCTTTCAAGCGACTTCCTTCGTCACATTCTCGTCCACTTCTAATTTTACTTTTTTCTCAAAGAATTATATTTCACTGAATAGTTTTTTTTGCGTTTCCTTCGCTACTTTCGCTTTATTCTGGGCTACCACTTCTATAATTCGCCTTGAACTAGGTTCCAAGGATTCAATCCCGATACTTGTTCAGGCCAACATAACCTGAGCTTGAACCCAAGTCTAAACCCAAGCCTGGGCCTAAGCCTGAGTCGGAGTTGAACTCTAAGCCTAAGTCTGCTAGGTTTACAACGAGTTATTCAACCTTCCCAGAAAAAGGATATGATAAGAGTCCATAAACAAGAAAAGTCGATTAACCATACAATTGGCAGCGGATCTGCATGGAAATGAAGAGCGCAGGTAGCTTACCCCTGCAGGTATGAAACTAGTAAATAAACCACTTGCCAAAACAGCTACCCTCAACATTGTAATGGTAGTTCATATATTATAATAAATAAACAAAATAACAAAGGAACCATATTACAGAAAAACTAACCATATTATAAGTTGAATCACCCGTCAATCGCACTCCATTGCCTCATCCTCTCTGGCCTCACGGTACGTCAGATAAGGATTGAAGTTTGCCGGAATCGTAGTAAGTGTCGGAGGTGGAGCCGTTTCCGGTTCCGTATATTGATCTGGAACTAATCGATAAAGAAGAGAGCTGGTCAGGTAAAGGTTATGTCGATCACGTAAGAACTTCTAAAACACCCCATTGGATATGAAAAGCATAGGTTTCCAGCTAACTCAGGGAAAAAACCTGCAGAATGCCCTTCGAGTAGAGGATGGGGAGCGAACTGGCGAGCAACAGAAAAGGAATAGATGAGTAGTTACTGTAGAACTCACAGATTACAGTTTCGTCCTCTTCAGCTACATAGTCCTGGGAATAATCCTCACTCCGTGCCACCGACGAATGTGAATCGGACGAACCAAGGGAACTCCTTCAAAGACTCAATTCATAAAAAAATTAAACATGAGTGAAAACAAAACTCAAGTTCTCTTTTACCTAGCTAACTAAAGGCCATAAAGAGCTCATCCTAAACTCGAAATCACTGGTCCTATAAAGTAACATGAATTGTAATGTAAGTTGTTACCTGTGAGGATCGTCATCACCGAATCGCATAGGTGTCTGTCGAGCAGACGGCGGTAGTGAAACGGATGTTCCAGGTCTAAAAATGGGAACCTAATGCAACTATAAACTGGTAACAAACTATAAACATCGAAAAATACAAAACCCCATAAATAAGTAAATATAAAAAAGCAATGACCCCACGTTTCAGCAGAAATTCTGAAATTGAGCACACTGATGTGGTTGGTTGGACACTAATTGGTTTAATTGTAAAATTTTGACGAAACCTTTGAAACTTAGCAAAACGCCCCCCTGGAGAACAGCAGCTACTTTTGCAAATGCGTTCACTTACCCAACTCCCGTCCGCTGGCGCTTATCGCCATAACTCAAAACTTGTAAGAAGCCCTTCCCCTTACGCCCTTCTTTTTCATGAATATCGTGTAGGACCATTTGAACGCTGGACTGTTGGAAAGACTAATCAGACCGTAGACACGCTCTCGACCCATCACGAAGCGTTGTGTCAGCCGATCCAATCAGAGCAATGCACCCTTGCAGATAATCCACCTAGACGCTCGCTGACTTCCTATCGATACTTATCGCAATTTTGCTGGACAAGGCCCTAGATAGACTACCCGATGTTCAGAAGAGTGCACCGGATGCAACTGAATGATAGCCATCATGAACCCCTTCAAGATCATCGAGGGGCAGTCCAATCAGCATGCCTATGTGCCTATAGCGGCTCAGTCCAACCCTAAAGGTCTGACAGCCAGGGTCGAACCCCATCCAAAAAGTTTCCACATTGAATTACAAGAGGACTTGTGCGTTAAGGATACCTACCTACCAGTCCTATAGAAATCTGTTATCAGCAGCTCGATCGCGGAGCAGACAATTTGAAGTAAAAACACGATTAGGTTCACTTTCTTCATGATAACGCTCACGCCAACACTTTAAGGGGAAGTCAGGAGGGATTGAGGATACTAGTTGAAAACCCCTTCTTATCTACCTCTTCACTTCTGACTGGAGCCAACATATTATATCTACCCCTTTCTCGCCCCAGTTTGGCGTCATATTAAAATCGAGCATTTCTTTTCGAGAAGAAACTGATGAAGTCTCACAGAAGAGGGGACATGTTGCTGTGGGAAGATGTTGCGGGTGATGACATTGCGAATATGTATTAGGGAAGTCGCAAAGAAAAGTAAAATCGTAAAGCATCGAAGATGACAGAAAAACCTTCTGGCAATCGTGCTATGGGCTTAACCCCCTTTGATTTTGAGTACAAATTCAGCGGAGCAGTCATAATCTCAACCTGGACTTCGTTTTTTACATATGTTTACATTTCGACGATCACAGCTAATCGATAAAGTCGATCAACCCTTTTTTGAGATATTTCCACCCAATCGACTTCTAATTACAATCATGTTCGAATGCTTTTTAATCTAGGCATCGGCTCGCGAGAATCAACCAATACATAGGTAAATACTTTCATCTCCCCAAACGCTTTGCATCTACTTCCCACTCCCGGGAAGGAACGATTTCAGGGCGTGACTGGCTTGAAGAGGCATTGAAATGGAGCTCAATACTTTGACTAAACAGTAGTAACGGCACCATTTGACATTGCCCTATCTGTTAATGATCACAGGTTTCGAGAAAGACAATATGACGCGCACAGTCACGCTGCAATCAGCCTGGACTATCAAGTATAAGCGCAACGTCAGCGATTTCGTCTGTCAGAGGCTTTTCTGCGGTGGAATCAGTGAAAACGAAAAGCTTAGCACACATCCACTAAATACATAAGTTTACAGAATGTATTTACTACTTAGTAACTACCAATGAGGAGTAAGGGATCTCCTAAGCAAACGACATGCTGCGCTCACGGACCCTGTGCGTGTTGGTGCTCTGTAAGAGTAAGATGTTAGTCTGGGTGGGCGATCACGGTTCCCTATACGAAAAACACTGCTGTGTGGCCGTAGAAATTGCTGCTCGAATTCCAAATTCCCACAGAATGCCTTTGAGGAACGTCAGCGAAAATTTACTTACAAAAAATGACTGGCTCTGCAGGCTTTGCAGAGGCAATTCCCCCTCGACGCTCGCTAGCTGGGTGGCAGCGATAGAAAAAGCAGGAAGCTGACTGCAGTGGGCGAAATGAGAGCCAGAAAGAATATTCCAAAACGGGAAAAGTAACCAACTTTCTGAAATTATCCCAAACTAAATCGAGAAGCCGATCAGTAAGAACAGAAATACCGATAAGAACACCGGATGGATCGCAGAAATGGTTTCGACCCGATCAAAGACTAGTTCACGATGATTTTCAGGTATCGAAGAAAGTGTGAATCCATGTCATGAGAAAGGTAAGGCTCAGGAAAAAGTAGTAAGAACAGGAGGCTGTATGAAATCATGAAAACGAGAGTGGCATTGAAGGAGTATCTGAACAACATTTCAGTAGCTAAATTGCGCAGAGAGCTGACTACTGTAGGCCGAAAAGTCAAAAATTGCCTTCCACTGTCGCAATGAGCCACTAGTTTGAATCTTCTACAGGTGCGCTCCATAGTGAATGATGTAGCCTCTTCAAAGCTGTTAAAACTCGTCCACTGTTAGAAGCGGATACCGGCGAAGCCGATTTTGAGTCAATACCGAAGCCTTTTTGTTTATATCCCGACAGCGCCCTATGTGGCATATTTGTGGATCACGGATTCATCCTAGGGGGAAATCTTCGAAAGCATTTTCGTCGTAAACTGGGCCTTTACTCATCTTGTTTGTAAATTCCGTCTTGATGGGGCTGAACACTACAGAACAATTTTATAGGAGTTTGGGTTTGTCTCTCGCTGTTTATCTGCAGAACTGGGTTGCTTTGAATTAAAAGGATAAGCAAAATTTAAAAAAAAACAGTAATGCACCCAAAACACGTCAAAAGCCCCTCAAACCCCTATATAAGTCGGACTTGGAAAGTTTCAGAGTTTTGGTTCGGCCCAAAGTTGTGAACACACTCAAAAAGGGCAATCTAATAAGAATTTCTAGCAGGAGAAGATTTTATAGAAGACTCACGTTTTCTGGTAGTTCGTCAGTGAATTACTGCGTTTCCTTTTCGACTGTAACGTTGACAGTACACGACTTTGTCGCCGTGACACACCAGCCGAGTGCCGATAGAGTAATGGCTGAGGACGATTCACCTGAAACAAAAAAACATAAACAACCAGGTCGCTGTTTTCACGAGAGCCCTTGATTTTCTGAATTCCCTTCATTTCCCAAGCATATACTTATCTTTCCATAGACATAGCCGAGGGATGTTGTTTTGCTCTCATGTTATTCTTTTTTCAGCATAGCTTGCTCATTGTTTATTATGTTTGGTGATGTTTATTTTTGTGTTTATTTTTATGTTGTTGTGCCTCACGAGGTTTTCTGAGGCAAATGTTTGTTGATTTTAACAGCCTGATTTGGGATACGGGCGTTAGGAACGATTTTAGCTAATCGATTTGCCGCACGCGGCTGTCGCGGACCACTCATTCGCCATTATTACAGCTCTAGCGTTCTTCATACAGCTCAATCGATATGCGATCATTATTTCATGCATAATTCTACTATTAGTACTTTTGTTATTGTATTTCTTACCTACTGCTGCATCCTGCTACATTCCTTCGCGCGCGACGCCCCCCTCACCGCGACGCGACCATTTCGTTCCTAATGCACCACACCCGCCTGATTTCAGTCTCCTCTCAAAGACTTACCAGGAAAGGATACCAANAAAAAAACATAAACAATCAGGTCGCTGTTTTCACCAGAGCCCTTGATTTTCTGAATTTCCTTCATTTCCCAAGCATATTCTTATCCTTCCATAGACATAGCCGAGTGATGTTTTTTGCTCTCATATTATTCTTTTTCCAGCATAGCTTGCTCTTTGTTTATGATGTTTGGTGGTGTTTATTTTTGTGTTTATCTTTATTTTGTTGTGCCTCTCAAGGTTTTCTGAGGTAAATGTTTGTTGTTTTCCACACTCCCACGTTTCGTCCCTTCTCCATAGGCTCAGACCCAATCTTGGATAACAACCTGGAGTCCATTCAGTAAGCGCTCGATCTCATCTACCACTTTCGAAGACGTGTCCGGGACTTATTTCAGAACTTCTCACAAATTGAGATCAGATTCCAAAACTTCAATTCCAGGGCTATCCTCAAAGTAAACATCGGATGAGTTTCGAACATGGGGCTGGAACTGCTAGAAGCTTGCTTTTTGGATGGTCAACAGATCGCGACTACGAATTCAATTCTTTTTTTTTCAAGGAACATGATTAAGTCGAAACGTCAAGGCAGTGCCTTTGAAACATACAAAAATATTATTATCATGAACTATTATGCCGCTATAGCTACAAAGGAAAACCTTTTTGTGGCTTTTCAAACGATTTAGAATTATTCATGCGCTCCTTTCATTTCTGGAACGAAAATTCAGTTGGGATACGAATTCCTACAGTAATCCCAAAGTTGCTAAAACTGCTACTAGACGAAAAAAAGAACATGAAATTCATATGTGGTAATATTGTGAAGTAACAAGAAGGTAACAGTGAGAATGTGGGAAAAAATGAAAAATTTTGAATTTTCAACTTTCCGATCCCTTAAACTCTTGTTCTATGAGTAAATCCTCCAAAATAAAGGATAAAAGACGAGTCTTTGACGCTAATCCAATCTGTTTCCGACATACGCCATGCATGTGACATCCATTCAAGATTGTAGTAGTGTTTTAAAAGCGTCTTTGGCCTATACATTGAAATGCGGTGCCCTACCGATGTACTAAGCGATCAATTCACTCGGTTGTGCCACATGTCAACCTACCCACCCCGAAAGTACTAAATACTTGGCTGGTACCGCTCCAAGATTCAAACCGCGGGCCATGTGTGTATAATAGTGCGCCACTTGTCACTACACCACCTCTACTCTTTCCCATAATAGTGAGTAAATAAAAATAAATAAGCCAATAATCAAACATCTATATAACGATATTCATAGCAATCAGACTTTTTGTTGTAGGAGAGAAGATATCCTGTCGTTTACAATTCACTCTTCTGAACAACCGAATGACCTGGATCCCAAACGTCTAAATGACCCTGGCTGGCTCGGGTGAAACGGGTCAATTCTACCCTAGCCAGCAACAAGCCCTCAATCCCCTCCCCTCCCCCCCGCCCGTATCCCTCGTAACTGCTTGAAAGTACATTCCAATGAAGTAATTCAAGTGGACTGACCTAAACCACATGACTTAAGAAAAACTGGGTAACTTAGCTCTGATTGCACTTCTCACAGCACCATCACCTGCACGTTGAAGGACAAATTCTCGGGATTCTCGGATACAATTAACCCCATCATCCTCATCCCAGAAATGATAAGGCTTCCGTGTACTTCTTCAATTATATCACTTCCTTTAGAAACAAAGCTTAAAAGAGGGCGAGGAAAACTCGTCCACCTTGCCTTCGCTACGTACGAAAACTCGTCCGAAACTCACAATTGTGTCAAGACTTGTGCTAGTACAGAGTGGAGGTGGTGGACGTGGTACATCCACTGGTACCGTTTCACTCGAACATGAACACGCATTCATTGATGCTGCTGATGGCTGGCATGCGGCTAATGGAGGTGACGGCTCGGGCTGAAAAACACTCAAGCGATTCACTCGAACTAGCGAATTACTGGGAAGCGTCAACTGAATTGAATGGAAAAGATGTCTTCGAAGGCTTTGAAGAACCGAATCCCGCATAGAGCCCACCATCTAGGCGGCCACGCTGGGAAGCGGAAACAGCTGTAGGCAGAGCCGTCTTTGAAGAAATGGGAGTCAGAAGAAAGAAGAATAATCCAAAACGGGAAAAATAACCTAATTTACAGGAATACCTGGGAAGAACCCACAAGATTGGCGATCTACACGCAAAAATTTGGCCTCGGACGGAACCCGAACCCGAACGAGTGTTTTGCGGCTCAAGGTGCTCCTTACATTACCAGGACCCCTACCCCAGCTTCTCTTACCCAATACTTACAGTTTAGTACCTTGAAGTGAAAGTAAAAAGAAAAAAAGCCCCATTTTTACCTGGCATAGGTCGAGCGCGGCGATCGTATCCCGTTTGTCGATGTCGTTGAGGGTATTCTGATCAGGTCTCAGAATCACATCTTCGACAGCTCGTTTCAGATCGCCAATTCGCATGCTGCCGTTGCAGTACGACGACCGTGGCGACGCCACGGTGCCGGCCAGTTGTTGCTGTTCGCGCCACTTGGCGCCGGACCAACAAATCTCGATCGGTTCGAAGGTACGGCGGCTTATGGGCGCCAGATTGTTGTAGGATCCTGGGCCACTGGCTTTATTGCGGTTTCTGGAAAGATATGCATCAGAACAGTCCACTACTCAATCAGACCGAGACGGCGCGTCGGGTTCCCGGCAATCAAATTATCAACGGAACAAATATCGATTGAAAATCGAGCGGAGGTATCGATCAATCAAAGAAAATTCGTCAACGTGAAAGCGAAGAGCACAGAATACACGGAATCAAAACGTCAATGGGAAAGCACGTGGGAAAGAAATGCCAAAGTGGGATGATCGATCAAGAATGAACTCCGGGCGCCAGTCATAAAAATGCAGTCAGCTGATAAATATCTAATCATAACTGCCTGACGACCGCCACCTCCGCCACAACGACGGTATATCCGACAGCAACTGCCATTTCACTTGTGCTGGAGATAAGCAAAAAATGAGATCCCAGATAATATAATAAAGCCCCGAATAACCAAAATAAAGCCCCAGCAGCCAGAATAACTGGTAATCAACACTGTCGATAGAAGCCATCACCTTATTCCCCATTCTCGAAAACCCAAAAAGCCAGAAAGGTCTAGGAGCCACAGCACCATCGATGGGGCAAGTAATGACTTCGACGGTTCGGATTCTTTTGAAACGATTTTTACTTTTGAGCTTGGCTTCGTTCGGCTATATCCGTCCAACAGGCAACTAACGAGTGATATCAGCCTTTCAGTATCGGTGAGCAAAACCAAAAATTCAACGAAAATTTCATTATTGGAAACGTAAATTCTACCGTAGTCCCACCAATGTTTTATACTATCACGACACACAGCTGATACGTGATATTGCACATTTTACGTATGGTAGTAGCAAGAAGTAATAAAGAGATTACGGTAGAAATTTGGATCGGTCCTAAGAACTGTCGTTTTTGTTCTCTCTGAAGAATTGGAGAGCATCTAGCAGGAGGGTTTCGAGAAATCCAGGAGCAATTGAGATTGCCAGATTAGGAAAAGCCAAATTTAAGTTATAGTACAGTAACATACTCAATGGATTCTTACTTATCATTAAAAATCTTTAACTATCATCAAAAATCTTTACTTATCATTGAAAATCCTTACTTAACACCAAAAATCTTTACTTATCATCAAAAACCTTCAACTATCATCAAATATCTTTACTTATCATGAAAGACTTATTCTCCTGAGCTAGAACTCCATAGAGGTGCACAAGGACCTAGNAATTCTACATTAGAACCAAAATTGATTCGTGCCGCTTTCTGACAGTTAAAAATAAAAATAAGAATCAGAAAAAGACGAAGGGATGGCAACGCAAGATCGATTTCATAAACCACAAAGTAATACCCAAAAATTGCTGAATAATATCGACTACTCAAATATTTTCGTAGAAATATCAAAGCTATACTGCAATGGGGGCTTACGTTTGTGAAAGAAATCTTACTGCTCATCGCGTTACCATAGTAATTCGCCCTTTACATAATGCATTATGACAATAATAAAACATCGATACGAGAATATATTGCGCTGAAGCCCGTGCCATTTCCCCCTTCATCAGGACAAAAAGAAAAACGAATGTGAACCCTTAGTGATCCAGCTAAAGGATACCGTAATCCTCCGGGAGAGCACATGAGCATGGCTGGCTGCTGTCGCTCCTCGTTCAGAGAGACTATCGGAATATTCTATGAGATTGATGTGAATTCCCGAATGAATGATTCGATGAATGCCATTCGAGGAATGTTCCGTTCATCTTTTTGATTCAGACTTTTGCAGTACAGCAACACTGCAGCACCATCGAATCAATAAAATCGATAATACAAGTTGAAGCTGCTTCCCAGGTGAGGCTAGTCAAGCAGATGGAGATTGGAAACTTGGAAATTACGAGAGATTAGTGGACCAACGATCAATTTGGTATTTTGGGCCCGCTCAAGAGGCTATTCGGCCGTCTTAATAAAAAGATTTGACCCGGGATAGGGCTTATCGGGGTCGACATGGCAGGTATCGCATGAGCTGACCAAATCAGGGTCGCTGAATGATAGACAGCTTCTCTTCCTTGAGATAATGCTTCCCTATGCCATAAATAGCTAAAATCAGTTTTTCCAGAGCTGACTAATTCAGCTACCACATGCTTCTTAAGTTCCGCTTCCTGCTTCGCTCTGCTTCCGTAATGACATCACCGTTTTGGTGCAGATCCGTTCTCGGATGTCCTTTCTGAGCTCCTTAGAATCTGCACTTGCTTTTTCGCTACTGGAACACCCAGTCAGGAGTCCCCTTCCCTACAACTTGATTCAGAGCTTCTAACAAACAAACAAACAACACCGGTAGCCGGATACTCGAGTATTTTTTACTCGTAGCAAGGCTCAGAACTTCTAAAGGCCCATAGGGGCTACATTTACTGGCGACACTGTTCGTCGGCAAACGATCTGAAAGCATACTACTACCTTAAAACCTTCGAAAATGGAGAGGAATTCTATAATAATTGCTCATGTCACTGCCCAAACCCCGCCTCCTAGCAAGTCACGCCCTCCGACAGGGCGATGAAAAGTCACTCTAAGATTACTAGGAATAAACATCAATACTCCCCGGAGTTCAAACAATGCGTCCTATATCAAAAAATAAAGTGTTGAGAGTAGGCAAAGCACAACGGCCGAAAAATCGCCTCGCCTTGATTTTTCCATTTTACGGAAAAATTTGAATTTGACGAAAAATTATTCTCACTCGTCCACTTTTGGATCTTTCGCACTGTTTTGATTGACAGCTCATTTTCGTGATGGCTATTTTCACCTCGTCAAACAGATGTCAGTCCCCGCCATTATCTGCCTGTCGCCCTTCTTCAAATGACTAGGAAAACGGTCAGAACTTGGACTTGTCCGGTTTAAAAAGGCCAATAAATATTAAAGCGAGAATTTCCTGCAAATAACAAAGGGAAAAACAAATGGAAATGGAGCTGGCAAGAGCTTTTATAAGAAAACGCCAATACTGGAAAATATGACAAATTTTCATCAAAATTGAAAAAACTGGAGGGATGAAGGATGACGTTTTTGGCCTTAACCAATCGCCTTTGGGATGCGCCCCGCATCCTACTTCCATTCAAAATCGTAGTGGCGTAATGAAAGCGTATGTGGCCTATACTATGATTTGCGATGGCCAGCCGATGAACAAGTCAGCGCTCTTACCCTCATCGACGAAACTGGTACCAATTAACCAACCCCGAAGGGATGGAAGGCTTGGATGGCCTAGGTGGACATCGATCCGAGATTCGAACTCGTGACCATACATGTGTGAATGCGCGCCACTTGCCACTACACCGTAAAAGATCGGATTTATTTTGACCCTCAACTCCGAGGAGGGCAAAAAGATGAAGGGTTCTTCTAGGAAAAAGCAATATTTGAATATTTTTTTCGTAGAAACTGCACTTTCACCATCTCCTCGAAATGGTCTCTTCATCGAAAATCGATGCACTTTTTAGAGGCTCTTTCAAAGCCCTCTCCTCGCATTTCATTTCCCTTATGGCTGCAGGAATTTATTGATTTGCCCTTTCAAGGAAGACGAGCCAGACATGGATTTCAGCAACTGGTCGAAAAAGTAATCCAAGAATTAAGAATGAATCTACAGCTGCTATGAACCCTCCAGCTCTTGCTTCCCTGTTGAAATCGATTTCCCCAAACAGACGTCTTGGAACCCCTTCCGTCGATCCCACTACTACCCAATTAAGTTTAATGGGCCCTGCTGTCTCGGGGGACCCAAGGTGAACCATTTCGTCGTTCAGAGCTTTTATGAAGATGTCTGGTCATTGAGCCCTAGCGGAGGCCGTCTTAGTGTTCGTCCCAAGTCCCGAGAGATATACTCGTTCACCATTTTGGTGCAACGACCATGATCGAAATGTGTTAAGCTCACCTCCGATTCTTTGTATAAGTTACGACCTTGATGTTTGATCAAAGATAAGTTTGGAAATTCGAATCTCCCCTATGCAATCCAACGAGTCGTGAAGCTCCGAAGATCGCCTTTTTAATGGTGCGTGTATAACGCTGACCATATGCTAGTCGTGCCTGAGCAGAGTCTAAGCTCCTTGGACAATCCACTTCAACCTTTTGGGATGACTGCGATTCCGTTGCCGCTCTCTCCAGGACAATCCACTCACCAGGGGCACATGCCTATTATTTGGTCCACAGGTGTCTCAAAAGTGGGGATGTCCAATTAAGGGGTTAACACAGAAGGCAGCTATTATCCTTTCACCTACCCAAGATTTGATGATTCGGCGGAGAGGGCCTCTGTGACTGAACCGAAAAAGAGGGTCACAAAGCCGCATTCTGATTTCCCCTTTTCATTTAAACTCCTGCAAGCCCTCCTTTCGCCTTCCTTCCATTCAGCTCTCAGACTCACGGCATTGACTAAATCATTTCGAGAATAGGGTTAAGCCAGAAATATGAGGCGACTGAGCCGTTGCTCAGGTGATTGTTAGGTTTATAGCTGAGAAAATGAACAGCATTGAACTCCCGTCCACAAACACGCCTACTGCCATTTCTTTCCCCATCATTAAGCCTAACACTAGAGTAGTCAATGGGTCATTCGTACTTTTACGGCTGCTGAACCCTTCAACTTTACCCCAACTTATAAACAAGCTTGTCAATTTGAAGTACCAAACACCAATAAGTTCCGTGAGAGGGGGGAAGGCGCTTAATAAACCCTATCATTTGCATAAACAAAGTGATTTTCGATTCAAAGCCTCACGTCAAATGCCTTCGTCACAGCTGGGAACCAAGAACTG